CACACACACACACACACACACACACACACACACACACACACACACACACACACACACACACACACACACACACACACACACACACACACACACACACACACACACACACACACACACACACACACACACACACACACACACACACACACACACACACACACACACACACACTCTGTCAGTTAATGTAATGTATGTATGGCAGAAATGTACGGAAAAATCAATTAAAGATGTAATCAATTAAGGTCAGGTCAGGAATCTTGTTGTAAAATTTAAATTTCAGTTCCACCTATCACTTCCTGTGTGCGCATCTTTTATTTTTAGGTGGCGAAAAGGGGCTGTTAAAAATTTATTTGTCTTTGAATCATTCATTCAAAAGATTCATTCAAACACACTGATTCATCCAGTAATGAAACGAGTGAATCTTGAGTGAGTCATTGAATCATTCCATTCATAAATGCCATGAGGATTTGTTTAGTCGTCTAATGTTTTTTCTTCAGAATTGTGAGAGAACTACAACCTCCATAAAGAAAAAAAGTCTTAGTTTATCCAGAATCGTGCCGCTCTATTTTGCACACAAACAGATCAAGTCTTTATGTAGCCGGCTGATTTTTGTTCACAGTATTCAGCAGCAGTGTTGGGTGTAACTAATTGCTAAAAAGATTTCTATTTTAAATAAATGCTGTTCTTCTGAACTTTCTATTCATCTGTGAATCCTGAAAAATCAAATGTATCACAGTTTCAACAAAAATATTGTGCAGCACGACTGTTTTCAACATTGATAATAATCAGAAATGTTTCTTGAGCAGCAAATCAGCATATTAGAATGATTTCTGAAGATCATGTGACACTGAAGACTGGAGTAATGATGCTGAAAATTGTAAATAATCTTCCTGACTTGGAGAACTCTCTATTCCTCAGCAAATCCAATAGCTCAGAAAAACTTAATGTTGAAACAGAAACTATAAGCTCTCTCTTTTCTAGCACTTTAGATATAGTTGCTCCTTTACGCTTAAAGAAGATTAAGGAAAACAGTCCGACACTGTGTTATAATGAGCACACTAACACCTTGGAGTGCAGCTGGAAGAAAACAAAACTAGAGGTATTTGGTATTGCATGGAGGGAAAGTACTTCCACTTATAGAAAAGCTCTAAACACTGCTAGACATGCTTACTTTCCGTCTCTTTAGAAGAAAACAAACACAACCCCAGGCATTTATTCAATACAATGGCTAAATGCACATAGAAAACAGATTTGTAATACTATTTCACTGCTTTTACTGTATTTTTGATCAAATAAATGCAGCCTTGAGCAGAAGAGACTTCTTTCAGAAACACTGAAAAATCTTACCAACCCCAAAATTCTGACCCTAACAACTGATGAAGAGCAAAACTTCAGCTACAAAACATGTTCAGAGATGAAAACAATGATCAAATGACGATTATTTACATGACACAACCTTCACGTCGGCCCGCAACAACCAATGCATTCAACAAATCATAACTGATAATGAAATGTGTCTGTGAATGGAGAAACACCACCATGATGAACATCACACATTCTTCTGCTGCAAACAATGTCTAAAACTTCACACAAAGTTCAATAAAGTCAGAAAGAATCATATTAATATTATAACTAACTGTGAGTATTTGTGATGGACTGACCAGCGGCTCCTGCTGATCTGCGGTCCATCTCAACCACCTGCGGCTGGACGCCATGGTAACCGTCGCCGGCGCCCATCAGCTGGTCTCCATGGAGACGTGCCATGTGCTGCTCATCGAGGGTGTGTGTGGCGCCTCGACCCCGTGAGCGCTCGAACTCCTCGTGATACTTCGCCTGAGAGAGAGAGAGAGAACGTCACACACACACACACACACACTCTCACAACAAACACATACACACTCTCATGCAAACACACTGCAGGTGTGTGTTACAGTGCGGTTTGGTCTCTGATAAGCCCATGAGTGTTTATGAGCACACGCGTGTTATCGTTCGTCACCCGTGTGGCGTGTCAGTCACGTGTTAATGCGGCGATGTCACACGCAGGCGTCGCCGTGGTCCTGCTACACGAGATTTCTGCACACGCCTCATTTCAGGCGTATCCAACTCTGAGCAGGAGTGACCTTTGACCTCCTGCAGACCGCGCTGGTACTGCACCTGAAACACACACACACACAAGCTTCTTTTAGATCATTTACGTCATTTTTAATTTTAGGTCCCCTAGAGGACCATGGTGAGTGAGTGAGTGTGTGAGTGAGAGAGTGAGTGTGTGAGTGAGTGTGTATGTGTGTGTGTGCGTGCGTGTGTGCGAGCGAGTGTGTGTGTGTGTGGATCTGTGTGTGTGTGTGTGTGTATGTGGATCTGTGTGTGTGTGTGTGTGTGTGTGTGTGGCTGTG